GCAAGCAATGCTAATGTTGTGATCAAAACAGTAATTTTGCCAGGTTTCTCTTTTAGTGATTGTGTTAAAACCACGAATATTATGTATTGCAATATTAAGGTGAAGATCTCTAGTATAGCTAGATTGTTGATTAGTAATATAGTTCATAGAAGTATTGTTTGTAAGAACTGGAGATAGAGTAGGTGAGTTTGAAGCCTCATCACAAGGATTTTGTAAAAATAAAAATAGTTCTGTGGAAAAAGATTTAGAATCATCTGAGCATGTTTTATTATTAAGTATGTTTTTTGTTCTATAAGGAAGTATTGGTGAGAATATATTACTAATGTTCATAGATCTGTAGGAATTAATATAAGTAGGTGAACAAATAGGTGTATTTGATTGTGATTTTAGAGGAATATTATAAGAATCATATATAGATAGCATATAGTAATTAGGAAGCATTTTAAATTCATCAGATAGATATATATATGCTTCTGTTTTGTCACTATTAATAGTAATCAAAGCATAACATACAAGGTGCTTAGCATTGTTTTGTGTTAGATGTTGTAGAAAAGAGTTGACAGTTTGTGGTTCTCTTAATAAAAGGAGTTTGTAATAGGTAAGAAATTTGTTGTAACATATTTCCAAGTTATAGGAGTCTAATAGTATTTGTGATGACTTGAATGGGAGTTCTTCTGAAGGGTTGCTTGCCATTTAAGCTCAGTTCTTACAGCTGCGAAGGATTTCATAGTTTGCCGTGTATGTTTGGTCTGACCATTATTATCTTAATCCTCATGTAAATGAACTTAACCACCCATCCACTTATATCATTCTCTTCTAAAAATAGCCTACAAGAAGTAGAGGACATAATAATTTTAGAGGTAGTGACTGCATTTATCTGTTTTTTAAAAAAACAAACTATTGAAAAGGATTATATGAAGTTGTTTGTAATGAGGATTGTTGAGTATTGTTGTAATCAGATTTTGTAGATTGGTTAAGGTTGTGGATTGTACTAGATATGCTAGCCTTATTGTTATTAGCATCAATTATAGAAATGTCACTATCTGGATTAATTAAGATTTCTGAATATTGTTGAGCCTATGGATTATTCTCTATTAAAGATGTAGAGGTTTTAAGTATATTTGTATAACATGTAGTAGTATTGTTATTATTATTTGGAGATGCTATATCATTAGTAGACTGGGTATCTGTTACTTAGGTATTGGAGTTTTGGAAGGTATAACTTGAGTTGGTTTGATTTGTGAAGTTTTGAAGTTAACTTTAAATTTAGAATATATAGTTTTTTCTGCTTCCGAGTAGGCTTTTTTATTGTAGTATTTTCAAAATTCTCGTATTGATAATTTGTCAGATTTATGGATATAGTAGTAGATAAGTATATGAGCAAGAAAGTCAGTATTAGTAGGGTTAGAAGCAATTCTATTGATAACTTTATAGGAATGGGAACCATAAAGTTCATCATTAGCGACTGCAGCAGTAAGATATTCATAGTAGTAGTAATAGAAGTAATAGCTTTCATGAGTATAGTCAGTATCTATTTGGTTAAGTTTCATGTATTTTTCTTCTGCTTCATAAGCGAGCTTGCACAGGAATGTAATAGGTATAGATTTACGGAAAGTAGCAGAATTTGATTGGTCTTTTCTAAATTGAAGTAGATAAAAAGTAGGTTGTATAAGTCTAGATTTTGATGGAGTACTAGAAATAGGAGCAGAAAAGTGCCTAAATAATTGTTAAAAGTAAAGTTTAGATAAGTTTTGAATATTATATTTCTTCTCTTGTGGAAGAGTAAAATAGCCTTGAACATTGCAAGTATGAATATGGTATAATGCTACTTTAAAGCATTGTTGAGATTGATATTATAAAGAGCTAATATATTAGATAGAAAATTTTCAGGTAGAAATGCTTTGCATGTTTTGGCTAGTTTGAATACAATTTCATGTTTAATGTAGTTTGACTTTTTTCTTGTCAATTTTAAAAATTTGATATTTGTAAATATTAAAGAACTTGTTGAACCATTTGTCAAATTCTGTAGGTGATCTTTCAAAGAAGAGATTTGAAAAGTCTCAAGAAAATGATATTTGGATATATTTAAAGAAATATTGATGTTAAATAAGTTGTCATTTTGTACTTTAATAAGTGGTTGGTAGAGAGCATCTTCACTAATGTTATAATGAAGTTGAAGTCTAATAGGGCATATATTTAGGTCTTCACAAAATTTTTTTGCATTGATAGTTGTATATTACTTGTAATTGTCTCTGCTTGGATTACTTGACCCAGATTTTAACAAGATACTTGATTTTGGACCAAATAAATACTT